GGSCCMRGGGGSMTTGTGGTTTGGTTGCCTGTTACCCAGCCTCCTTGGCAGCCAACTTCATTTATGTTGCCGTATGAAAACACAAAAGTGTGGCTGATACTGAGGCTATCCATTACCTCTCCTGGGTATAAGTAGCTCTTCATTTCCTGAATGAAATGAAATTGCTACATCAAAATCAATGAGTCTTGTTAATTCTCTCAATACTTTACACTCTGGTTCTACAAAATAAGGAGAAATCCATGTCAGACACATAACTGTAATAATCAATCAACTCTTTGATTATGTCAAAAATGCCTTCAAAATTTGATTTATTGTCAAGATTAGATCTGTTTCCATGGAATATAGGTTCTCAAGTTTTCATTTTAAAGATAAATATGCTAAAATGCACCCTGCTGGCAAGGAATATTTATGTGGCTTTTACAGAATACTCTGCTAGCAGGGGAGCTATACATCATTGGATGTACCATTATTCTTTGAAAAAGCTTACCAACAATTACTTGTCTTCCAGTCGAAACTATACTATAGTAATTGCCGTGTTTATTCAGCTCAGCACTACTTCCAGTATCTTTCCAACAATAATTTTTAGTYTTTTCTACAATGGCTCTGCCATCTGGGTTGACCAGCCCAATAATAAATAGGTCAATGTTATTTAAAATAAACATTGTATAGTTGTATGCATAGGATCCCTCCGGTTTATCCATACCCGCCGTCAGGTTTTGAACCAGATAWATCATGCTTTCTACTGGTAAATATTCAGATGAATGCTCTCCAAAAGTTAAAAGTATTTTGACTTTATCACCTGGCTGTGATTTCTTCTCCGTTGTTGAAGATAAATTAGCAAAATGCAATACGTATTGAGACAGGCCCCATCTAGACCGAAACTGCATTTCCACATCCAAAATACTAGGATAACGGGCCACCAAATGGTAGATACAGTCATTCAGTTTTGATAAGTTATGATAAAGTTCGTAGTTTGGTAAATACTTCTCCTTTGAAGGGGATTGATTAAAGACATCGAAGCTTGTTCCTTTGGTAACTTTTCCATTCGATAAAAATGCAACGAGTATAACCCATAAAAAACTGAGAAAAGCTTTGAACATGAATTTCTGTCCATTTTCAACCATGTCTAGTTAACCATACATACCATACATAGAGAGAACTGAAACGATACGAATCGCACAATACATATTTTTTTAAATGAATGACTTTCATCGTCCGTATCACTGGCGATTACTGGCCATTTTGGGAATCATCGAGAGTAGGAGATTGGGGAGAGTTTCTTGAAGGACGCTGAATCCAGTTCATTTATACACTGATGAAGCTACTCAGGAAAGATAGAAATAAACAAAACAAAAAAAAAACTTAACCGTAATATTTCTCTTTTTTTTATTCACCTAATACAAGCTGGTAAGATATGTTAACTATTATTGATCCACTATTATTATATTTCAGCTCAATCTCGCACCGCGAGCTTTGCCTTCGTTTTTGCGGGTTCCCTGTTTCTTGTTTCATTAAAAATAAAAAATAAAAATATTWAAAAAAAATTACAGTTATAATGATAAAAAAACATAAATAAACAACAAAAATGGCGAATGGCATGCCGCGTAATAAAAAATGTTAGCAATGCAAAAAATATGATTATTCGTCATATGCAACATTGGGACTCGATCCCGCAACCCACTTCACCACCGTCTGATTTGTACGCAACGCCTTAACAGTACGCGCCACAGTACCACATTCATTTACATAATAATAGACCACTTGACACTTTCACCGAATAGACTACCCCAATTTGACATTATACTTTCGATAGTTGCCTAGTTAGTGCAAGGGGTTATCCATCAGTGTCTAGGGGCCGGATAGCTTCTCCCTCACTGGCTTTTTAGTTAGCGCGAAGTTAGGAMMAATTATCGGGATAGCATGGAAGAGCCGAAATCTCTAACCGGAATGTAAATCGATTCGACGCCTCAGCTTCACAGAATGTCTCGGGGGAATCGTCCCAACSTTTTTTCGATTTTATGGCCAAGGGTTCGAATCCCAGGATGGCTGTTTTTTTTCTTTTTATTTGTATATTGTCTTCGTTTTCTTTTCTTGATTGCTTTTTGGTTTGTTTTTCGATTGTTTGTTTTTTTTCTGAATAACCATTCAATATTACTTTTTTTTGTAATGGATTATTTGACTGTTGCAGGATTCTGTAATGGCTGATAACTTGCTTGCATCAGCGTTCTAGGTCCGGTTGTAAGAAGGTTGAATGGCGCTATCCACTGCTAAGAAGTTGATAACTTAAACCGATGGATAACATAATCCACCCTTCTCGTTACCACCGACTTCATTAGCATAATGACGGGGGTACACCATCAAGTGGATCCACCCTATTGTTAAGCCGATCAGATCAAGCACTTTCCTTATTTCTTGACTATCCGAGGAAATTTAAGTGAGGATATAAACAATTTTTGGCAGAGCGATTCCCTCAGTATAACAAATAGTGGCAGTATCGGAGCAGAGTCCGTGGTAGAGATGGACGCTGACATTTCTATNATCAAACTTAAAAATTACAACAATAAAAATTAAAATATAAATGACACTACAAAAAATACATACAAGGAATAAAGAAGCATGCATGATGGCCGGTGGCTCAGATGAGCTCATTCGCCCTTTGTTAAGCCGATCAGATCAAGCACTTTCCTTATTTCTTGACTATCCGAGGAAATTTAAGTGAGGATATAAACAATTTTTGGCAGAGCGATTCCCTCAGTATAACAAATAGTGGCAGTATCGGAGCAGAGTCCGTGGTAGAGATGGACGCTGACATTTCTATTACGCCTGCTGTCCGGCACACTAYGGGCGCATGACAAAAGAGGACCAATCACTTGYCGTGAAGTGCGTGAAGCCAGGCAGCAGGAGCAGTGCTGACWTTCTGCAAAGTTATTTATATACTTGTTCATTTTCTTTACAATAGCTGTAAGTACCAACGTTCATTCCTTGCAGAATGACTAAACATCATCACCTTCCGAAAAACCTTGAAAATGCTGGCGAGTTTCGACGTTTTGTTTATGAATTGATTGAATCCAAAATGTTTGGAGGCGCCATATTGTTCATCATTTTGCTGAACACTGTAATATTGGTGACACAAACTGATGAAGCAATATCAGTCAAAGCAGGTCAGTCCTAGTTCGATACTGTTGTCATTATGGAAAGGACGTGATTGTAAACTCTGGGTTGTATAGGTTGGTATTTCTCTGCGTTAGACAACGTGTTTCTCGCCATCTACTTCGCAGAGATTGTTTTAAAACTTTATGCCTTACAGAGAACTTTCTTCAGCAGCGGTTGGAATATTATGGGCAAGTAYRTTTAGGGCTATCATCCATCCATGAAATCATATTTAACGATATAAGATTGCTCTTTTTACAGATTTCTTTATCGTTTTATTCACTACCGTTGATTTCCTTTTGCCTCTCATTGTGCAAAACGTATCTTCCTTCGACGTAGCCGCGATATTCAGGCTTTTACGTATGTTTAGRGCTATCAGAGCGCTAAGAGCATTGAGAGTATTGCGGACAATAAGGTGAGATGTAGAATGTGAATTGTATGATGGGAAGGTYTGGTATTGAGTTTGGTTTTCTTTAGACTACTCAAGAACCTTCAAGTCATTATGACAACAGTCCTCAAATCCTTTCGCGCTCTCAGCACTATTGTTATGCTACAAAGCCTATTTTTATGTATCCTTACCAATGGCACACAGAGAACTGATCAACCAATCAACTGCAAATCAGCCAACCAGTCTATTTTCAATCAATCACCAATCTGTCAATCAATCAGCAGTCAATTAGTCAACTGTCAATCATCTATCTCTCAATCTACTGCCTGTCAATCAATCAACTGTCAAGTAATACCATAACAAAGTATAGATATGTTTGCTGTAATTGGCCGTGGGTTGTTTTACGAAGTGTCGCCAGACAGATTTGGAAACCTTGGTAAAGCCTTTTTTACGTTGTTCCAACTGATAACACTAGATGACTGGTTCTACATGTACAGTGATGTTGTCAAGAAAGACACAGGTTAACAAAAMACACACCTATAAAACTTTGAATTTGATTACTCTGATTTGATCAATATCATTTATCGGTAGCGACTGATTTTTATCTATAGGATATGCCTACATCATCATATATCTTCTTATCTACATTGTGTTAGAAAACTTTATTTTTATGAAGTAAGTAGAGTACAGTGAAGTAGATGTAGTATGTTTTGGGTAGAAGTTGACAGAAGCCCATTTAGATGCAGTCAGATTAAAGTTCAGAACTCCTATGTCTCCTATTTTTTCACAAATTGCTCATAGTTTTCCTAGCTTGATGGCAAAGTTTGTCYAATTYACAATTACGTTACRTCMTTWTGCATGTATTCAAGGCTCTCTGAGACTGTCTGCTCTCTCAATCCACTAGATCATGCTGGGAAAMGATGGCAAAGGTGTAGSMCTCATTCCTCTCATTTTGATAGAAGCTAATAAGGGGGCCTTTCTATTGTCTCTTAYGTTAGTCAATTATTTTTACTAACTTTCCTTGCCAGTTTGTTTGTTATTTTTACTAACTTTCCTTGCCAGTTTGTTTGTTATTYTTACTAACTTTYCTTGCCAGTTTGTTTGTTGCTGTTCTTGTTGACAATTTTCAACGAACACTGACGGCTGTTGAGGAGAAGAAAGGACACAAGAAGAGTGGTATTCACATTAGAAGTGTGTTTGCAGGAGAGGTAAATGAACAAGAAAAATAATTCACATGTCAAAACGCTTTTTATGTAGTTGAAAGACACATAATTACAGATGCAACAACACTGCTCTTGTACTTTGCATTGCACATTGTCCATAGGAAGAAGTTCAGCAAGAAGACACTGGTTCATTGGGTTCATTCTCAGAAGAATCTGAGGAAGGTTTGTCTGCTCCTATACCTTTGGCTTTAATTGAAAAAATGTTCATCAATATCTTGYTGATTCTTAGATGAAGATTTGGAAGAAGAAATAGGTTGGAAACCCAAACAGATTGAAGACTTTTATCCCACAGATAAGTTTCATGACAAAAAGTATGCTACTGTTGGAATGCATTTAAATCATCAATTTTATCTTATTATGTAAGAATATCATGATTGACAGGATGCGAGAACTTTTAAACCAGTATTATATACTACTGACCTCACTGGAGTACAATATGCAACACGGCCAAAGATCTCAGAAAACAGTCAATGACCTCATCGACATCACTGTTGCGGTTAGTGTGTAGTTAAAACAGTTATGGACTGATCTCAAATTAGCAGGGTGTTATATGAGAGATACTCTATTAAGAGGCAGTCCAGTCTCTTGTAATAACCAACACTACTAGTACTACTATCAAATTTCTTTTCATTTGATGTCATATCATCAAGCACTCCATTAGTACATATTACAAGCCATTTTTGTTGATGAGTCTTATGATGTAAATGATGAGTATGTGTTGTATGATATCTCATTATCTTGATTGTTTTCTTTTTTAGATTCCTGATGTACCAGAAGAGCTTATTTAGACATCATTTGACTACAAAACTTTATATTATTTTGTTCATAGTTGCGAATTAAATGCTTGTTCTATTATCTATCGTCCTTTCCTAACACCACGACCTCCCCTTTTACCTCGCCCCCCACCACGCCCTTGACCTGAGTATCTTGGCTTAGAGTTCTGTCTTTCCACAAGGCGTCCTCTCCCTCTCCCTAGTCCCCTCCCTCCTCCCCTCCCTCTCCCCAGTCCTCTTCCACGMCCAGATTTATTTCTGTGTTTGTGTGACCAGTCTTCTCTTCCATGCTGCTCCCAAGTGATTTGCTTGTTGCTTGCATGACCTTGCAWTACATCATGACTGCCACCAGAAGACGTTGAATTCTCCAAGAGATGTGAAAACTGAAAATATGATAATGATTAATGAGTGTCAGTTGTAGACAACACTGAAAGAATTTCTTCAGACTATCACCTTGTGTATTATTTCCTTTTTTTTACAAGGATTTCAATAATGTGACTAACATGCAAAACGTGATGTTCACACAAGTGTCCAATTTCATAAATTACTAAGAACAGATGTCCTCAATAAGGATTTTTTCTCTTACCTCATCAGCAGAAGCAAACAAAGACATGATATCCTCATCACTAAAAACAATAAAAAACAACCATTATAACTGCCATATGCATATTTAAATAAATACAACTTTAAATTCACCCTTCAACTTTCTTCTTTTTCTTTGCTTTTCCTGTGTCTTCCTCATCTGATTCAAACTCATCTGAGCTGATGTTTTCTAGCAAAGCCTGTGCATAAGTTAAATCAGATTCAATGATGTGCATTCTTGTTGGATTGTGAAGAATAGGTTTTGGCTAACTACATGGATTTACCTTTTCATAATCTTGATCTGTAAACTTCCTCTTTTTTCCTTGTTGAACATCTAAACCATAAATTTATCAGTTTAACATGTACTTCATATAATACACTTGTGAAACAGCAAAACAACATCTGTTACCTTCATTATCATCAACATTGTCTTCTTCAATATCCATGTTGTTGTAGTCAAAGTCTGCAATAAATAAACTGAAAGAATGAAGATTTCTTGGAAGGTTACAGATGGAACATCATGTCTGTCAAGCACTTTCGATATATATTATAGCACATTAAATTATTAAGGAACCTCTCAGTGGTATACCTTCTTCAGAACTTTCTTCCTCTGACGACTGCTCATCTCCATCAACTTGTTTGCCTTTTTTTCTCTTGGTCTCTCGTTTTGACATTTTAACTTCACTGTATAAAGACGTGTGAACTTTTATAAATAGGTGGTGGCAAACATAATAAATAAGCTGAGGCATATACCGGTACATAAATTTGTCAGGAGGGAGCTGCACTGTTCATAGGAAATGAATTAGGAGGTGTGTTGTCCTTGAAACTTATTTGCAGCAATAGGGAGTTCTAAGTACTTCATCTGTGGTCATCCCTGGAACAGCATCTWATACAAAGATAAACTYACCTTGCRAAATCTAATTCAAGACTTGTTTGTTCCTCATCAATTTCTTCTACATCAAAATAGACAGAATGTTAGTACCCAATACSAAGTTGCTMTCATTAACAAGMATTCACACAAACCATGATCACTTGTCTCTTCATCAATGTTTTTGTTTTTCGTTTTCTTGTCACGTTCCGACTTGAACTTAAAATACCTTAAAGAAACACATTACATTAATTCTTGAGTTACTTCATAATAATTATCATTTTAATTTACCTGTAAAAGAACATCTCGTCTTCACGAACATCTTCTTCTTTCTTTTTCAAAAAAGCATTTGTATTCACTATAAAGTAACAAGCAAAACTTATTAGTATTAGAGTTTTTGTTGCAACGTATCATTGTATCTGAATTACCTGGGGTCTCATTTAGTCTTGCTGATGTTTTACTTGGCTGAAAGGAAATAAAGAAAAACTCAGTGGATATCTGACAAAAACAATGCTAGTGAATGGAAAAACAGTGGATAAATAAATGGAAGGTTCAAAAAACGAATGGGAATAGATGACTGAAG